GCCCGCTCTCTGCCGCGCCCCCGCCGCAGTACAAGCAGCAGCACACGCTGCTGCACAAGGTGAACGGCGCCCTGATGCTGCTCAGCTTCCTCTGCTGCCGGGTGCTGCTCTTCCCCTACCTGTACTGGGCCTACGGGCGGCACGCGGGGCTGCCGCTGCTCGCCGTGCCGCTCGCCATCCCGGCGCACGTGAACCTGGGCGCCGCGCTGCTGCTCGCGCCCCAGCTCTACTGGTTCTTCCTCATCTGCCGCGGGGCCTGCCGCCTCTTCTGGCCCCGGAGCTCCCCGCCGCCCTCTCCCGCTCAGACCCAGGACTGAGGCTGGGGCCAGGGGACCCTCCCCACCCCTTCCCAAGCCCCACCCCTATTCCCGCGGGGACCGGGCTCTGGGCTGCAGGATGGGGGTGGGGAGCCAGGGGCCTGACAGCCCCAGGACTGTCAAATGGACTCCGAAGCGGCGGGCGCAGACCCCTTCAGGGGCTGAGAGGAGGGACCAGGTGCAGTGGAAGGCAGGGGGAGAGGGCCTCTTCTCCCCACGGTGCCTGGCGTTGAGCCGAGGGGAGCGAACCCCTTCCTGCATACCCCCTTTTCCGATCAAAACCCTGGGGCCCTGAAGAGCGAAGGGCACAGGAAGGGGCACCGCTTCCATCCACTCAAGGCTTGAGGGCTTGGGGAGACTGATGGAGACTCGAGGGGACCAGGAGTCAAAGAATGTTGGGGAGGCCCGGCTGCCAAGGCCATCCCACACCCCCTGCTGCAACTCCTCTAGGCTCCCCGACGTCTGGGCGGGAGGGGCCACCCTAACCAACCCCCATGGGCCTTGCTCGGGGCTGGTTGCTCGCTCCAGGAGAGACCAGCCTGAGGAATCTTATTTATTCACCCAAATTCAAACTAATTTGTTGGGGTGGGGGGAGGGAGGTGGCTGCTATCCTCCAGCCTTCCCAGCGCTGAGCAATCCCCGGGGCAGGCGAGGGGGCGCCCGGTTCTTTCCCCCCTAGGCTGCACATCTTGCCCTCAGGCCCTGGCATGTCCCTGGTGCTACAGACCTCTCAAGGCTTCCTCCAGTCTGGGGTCGGGGAACCCTGGGAGGTGCTTTACAGACCGCTAATAAAGACGATCTGCGTGAACGCCACCATGGCCCTCTTAGCCCGGTTTTTCGAGGCTGGGGCTGGGCTGGGGGGCTAGGGATAGAAAGCCAGGATGACCACAGATCAGGGCAGGACCCCCTGGCTGCTTACTGAACGGTCGGGAAGAAAAGCAAACACGTTTATTCCTCAGCAGGGGAGGAGGGTGGGTCTGAGCACTCAGGGTGGCATCCAGGGCTGTCTGGCTCTTTAGGCCCCTTTCTGGAAGCTCCTACGGGGTATGGAGATCAGAGGTAGGAAGCCACCTCTGGGTCCTTAGGCCTCTGCCCTGGAAGGTCCCTTGGGTGGGGGAGGGCGGCCTTACGCGTGAGTGCAGAACTGGAACAGGAAGAAGAAGAAGGCCGCAGTCAGGATGCCCACCAGGAGGCGGCGGAAGATAGTGGCATTGGAGGGCCCTGCTGGCCAAGGAAGAGGAGGTGGGGACCCTGCACTCATCCCCAAGGTCAGCTCTTCTCCAGGCTCTGACCAGGAGGAGGCCCCTTCTCAAGCCACTCATACCTGCATTAGCAAAGAAGACAGGTTCCTCTTGGATAAACTGGGCCACGGCCAGGATCTTGGCTTCGTCTGAGTCTGGGTAATCAAAGAATTTGCGTCTGTTTATGAAGTCCAGCAACTCTGTTCCCAGGGCCGAGGTCTTGGCACTCTCCGGACTGGGTGCTGGGAACCCAGAACAAAGTCTCTGACAAGAGCCAAGCAGACCCCTACCTCCCACCCCAAGAGACAGAAGCAGGCCCAGGGCCCCGCCAGCCCTCACGGCCTTAGTGTGGCTATGGAGGGGCTCGATTTTGTTCTAGGAACTTCTCCAAGATCAATGGAATTCTCCACAAGAAGGCCCACGCTGGCTGGGGTGGATGGGAGAGCAGTGTGGAGAGCAAAGAGAAAGGCTGAAGCTTGGCCTCCCAGCCCCTTAGAGGGCACTGACCCTTTCCCCCCAAGCTTTCCTCCTTCCCACTGCTCCAGGACCACTCCCCACCTGTATCAATGGCCCCCAGCCCAACCAGCCACACCCACACCCTCGCCCACTGCCACAGACTCATGACCACTTCTGTGAGGAGTGGGGGCTCTATGATGTCACAGCCTGGAGCCTTTATGATCACACACTCTGGGGTGAGGGGAGAGAGAAACTGCTGGAGCTTAGAACCCTTCCCCCAATCACCCCAGAATTAGAGGGGAGAGGTTGGGACCCACAGAGCCTCCCATACTTTGGGTTGAACAGTGGCAGCTCCAGAATTTAGAAACAGAAGGGACTTGGTGGAGCTAAAGAATACTGTATTTGTACAGAAGGCACAGGTTTTTTGTGTGTAGAAGGGAGACAAGGCTAAAAACCTTCAGTTACCCCTTAGATCAACCACAAGAGCATTTATTGAGCACTTATCACTTTGCCAAATACTTCACATAGATTGACTCATCTCACCATCACAACCCCATGAAGTAGGTACTACTGGCCCTAACTACACAGAAGAGGGAACCAAGGCACAGATGGGCAAAGTAATGTGGGCAATGCACACTTCCCTTGGGTGTGCATTTTCCTTCCTGAGGCCTCCTCTGGCCTTGTGTTCCCAAATTCAGGAGCACAGGCACCTCGGCTCTCCCCAAGCCCTGTAGCCTAGCGCTCAGCCAAGGATGACCCCGGGGTTAGGAACCAGGAGAGATGATAGGATTTCCCCACTAGGTGGCAGCATTGTCCAAGCCTGCCTGCCTGTTTTCCCTCTTCTCCCAGGGAGACACAGCTCCCCAACTCCAGGCCCGTCACCACCCTCTCTCCCCACAGGTCGCATCAGGTGCTTCAGGAGAAGGTATTACCATTGCCAGGGGAATGGCAGGCATGGGGGTTGTCAGAGGAAGCTCCTGGTTCATCTCTCGAGGCAGCTCTCTCGGTCATGCACAAAGCTTTTGCGGGCACCCCTCTCTGGGTGGCCTCCCCCAAGGGCCATCCCATTTCCTCTTTCTAGTGCCCAGTTTTCTCTTATTTGTTACTTCCCAAGAACTGGGCCTCTGTCTGCTTCAAAGAGTTAGTTCCTTTCTGACTGACAGATAGGGACTGTCTGTCACAGATGTGTCCGCCCTACCCAAGCCCAAGGACACTTCAGGGTCTCCTTGGTTTTATTACACAGATGCCTGTTCATGTGTGAGGCCCGCTCCCTCCTCCACTGGATCCCCACCCCTCATCTCTCCTGCCCTCGTGGACTGCCAGCCCGTTCTCACAGCAACACTAGGAGGCACATGCCATGCTCTGCTTCCTAAATACGAATAAAAGCCCAGAGAGAAAAGGGGGAAAGAGGAGGGAAACTAACACCTTGGGGGCTTCCTGTGGGACTGGCTCATGTGGGCCTCTTCTCTCTACACTTATGTCTTCTAAGAAAGAGAAAGTGAGTTCCCAACGTCACAGGTATGTAAGGAACAGCAGGGACTCAACCTGCTTCTTGGCTCAGGGCTCAGGGCCAGGGCCCAGGCTCCATGTGCCGCTGCTCCTGGGGTTCAGCTGGGAGAAAAGGGGTTCAGAGCCTTTAAACCTTTGGAATGGAATTTGCAGTTTCCTCAGTTGCCTCAAAAGAATACAGCTCCTTCTCTACCTGAAAAGGCCCTTTTGACTCAAACAGTGAATTATCCATTCATTTGCTCACCCAACGATTAAATAAATGTATTGAGCTCCTACTATGCGCTGGGCTCCATTTGTGACTTAAATAGAAATCGCCAGGCCCTGCTCTCTGCCCTCAGGGCGCACAGGGGAGAGAACTGACGTAGGCACATCATTAGAGTACAGACAGGCAAACCCTAAGGGGCTGGCTGCACTTGCCGTCTCTACGTTGAGCGTATTTTTCAGCCCCTTCAGGCCTGCCTTTGTCTCCACCACTCCACTGAAACCACTTTTGCCAAGTCCACCAATGATCTCATAACTTGCCGAATCTAATGGTTACTTCTCCGCCTAGTCTGTCTGTCTGTCAGCATCCTGAACCTGCCTCCAGGCTCCGGAGCCACACTCACTGATTCTCAGGACGCCGAGTTCTCTAACCAGCTCAGCCTTGGACCTTCTCTTTTCTATCTATACTCTCTCCGTAAGTGATCTCATCCGGCCTCATGGCTTTAAATACCATCTATACGATGATGACTCACAAATGTATATTTCTAGCCCAGCCCTCTCCTCTGAGCTCCAGATTCCTCTACCCAGTTTCCTGCTTCATGCCTCTGTATGTCCAAAACCATCTCAGACTCCACAGATCCCACACAGAGCTCTTGATGCTCCTACCCCAAACCTGCTCCTTTCCTTTGCAGCAAATGGTCTCATGATTCCCCTACTCAGCTCAACACTGAAGCCCAGGAATCAGATCCCTCCTTGTCTCTCTTCTGACAAACCCACTATCAAGACCTGTTGGTTCAATTTCCAACATAAATCGCAAATCCACCCACTTCCTTCCCCCTCCGGTTCTGCCCCCCTTGCTTAAGCCAAGCCCATGTGTTGCCCAGCTTATTGTAACAGCCTGTGGACTGGTTGATCTCCCTCTGCTCACGCTTCCCCCAGTGACAACAAGCCAAGAAACACGCATCTGCTAAGTAAAACCCTCCAGTGGCTTCCGGTGGCTCCTGTGTGAATTCTGAACTTACCCTGACCTGAGAGCCTTGCCCAGCACCGTTCGCCTACCCCTTTGGCTCTTTCCAGGCTCTCGCTTCCTCGGCACACTCCAGCCCTGGCACGCACCTCTGTCTTGACACGCTCGCTCCGCACTTGACCTGGCTGACACCTCCTCATCTCAGCCAAGGCTGAGGAGACACTTCCCCTGGGAAGTGCACCTGAAACCCCACACTTTGTGACCCTCCCCAGTCACTGCATGGGTCTCGTGGCATGGGGCTTGTTTGTGTATTGTCTATCTCCCTACAAGGCTGTGAAGCCAGAGATCACTGATCTTGGTGATAATCATAACACCACAATATATAGTAGGTATTTGATAACTATTATTGACTTAATGGGGAGGTGAAAAGCTTTTCCACCTCTTGACAAATCAGGGCTCAGCCCTGTCCATTCTCCCCTTCAACAAGGCTCTCTGGAGGGCACTACTGAGCTAAGCCCCTTAAGATCACAGTGGAGGGTGCAGGACTCTAAGGCTCTTCTTGCCCAGCTTACCCCCTCCTCTCACTGCAGGCCCAGGTCTGCCTCTGGCCAAACCCACCAGCTCTGGTCCTGGATGGTGGCATCTCCCTTAGCCCTGTCTCCTTGCTTATCCTGGAGGGCCCTGAAGGAAACCTAATGGTTGCCTTTACTTTAAAAAATACATTCTTTTAATGCTTTTGAATAGGTAACATATGCACATGGTACAAAATTTAAAAGGTATAAAAAGATATATGTTGAAAAATAACTCGTCTATTCCTGCCTTACCCTGCCTTGCAGCTACCTCCTCAGAGGTCACCATAGTTACCACTTGTGCAGCCTTCCAGAAATAATTTATGGACAAATAAAGAAACATATATAAACTCCTTTCCTCCCACTCAAATGGAAGCGTTCCATACATGCTACTCTGTGCCTTACTTTTTTCAGTTAACATGAGATTCTGAAGGTGATTCTGTACAAGTACAGAGACCTCTTTCTTTGCCATGGCTGCATACTAGTTCATTGTATGAAACTGTGTCATAATTGACTGAACTGGTCCTCCACTCATGGACATTTAGGCTGTTCCCAATCTTTTGCCATTTTAAATAATCTTGAATTTCTATTATTTTGCTCATGGGCCAGCATATATATATATATATACACATATATATATGTATGTATATATGTATGTGTGTGTATATATATATACACACACATATATATACACATATATATATGACAAAATCCTAGAAGTGGCATTTCTGGGTCAAATAGTCTACGTATCTGTCATCTTGGAGTCCACCGTCAGACTGGCCTCCGAACAGGTGCTGTCCACTTACCCACAGCCTCATCAACATTATGTGTTAACAGATGCTTTGAATTTTACCATTCGATAGACAACAAGTGCTATCTCAGTGTTGTTTGACCTTGCATTTCTCTCTTTTTAAAAACTGTATGTTTTAAAAATACACATTTCAATAGATCTTAACCATTTTCAAGCAGACAGTTCACATTGTTGTGCAACTGTATTTCTCTCTTTTTAAAAAACATATGTTTTTATTGATTTGAGAGAGAGAGGAAGGAAGAGAGAGAGAGAAACATCAACGTGAGAGAGGTACATCGATCGGTTGCCTCCCATGGAAACCTCAACCTGGGCATGCGCCCTGACCAGGAACTGGCGACCTTTTGGTGCATGGGACAATGCTCAACCAACTAAGCCCCAAGGCCAGGGTCACATTTCTCTTTTAAATCACGGTTAGTAACGTCAACTTGGTGGCAGGTCTAGCCTGAGGCAGCCTCTGCTCCCTGGGGGGGTGGGGGAGAGACAGAAATGCAAGCAGGCTTGACAAACCAGTGTCACTGGAGCTGAGCCTGAGATAGCACTGGAAGCTGGGGGGATAGGAGGGGAATGTTCCAGGAAGGCTCCTAGGAAGAGGTGACTCAGAATGATCCCCTGAAGGAAGGGGAAGGTCCTCCAGGCAGAGCAGCTTGTGTGAGCAAAGGTCCGGTGGCCTGAGAGATCCAGGTGTGTTCTAGAAACTGCAAATAACATTCCTAAGAGCCGGTGCCAGGAGCCGCTGCGGGATGAGATCAGAGAAGTCGGGTCTTGGACTGAAGGGCCTTGGAAGCCACTGTGGGGACTTAGTCTTTGGGGGATGGCAAGTTTGGGGCAAAGGAGAGCAAAGATCAAAGGCTGGAGTTAGACTGGCAGGTGGCAGGGTTTTAGGCGAGAAAGGGGAACTGGTGAGGAGAGACTGCAGTGCTCTGGGGCATTCAGAGCGGAGCCCGATGCCCCTGGCCCCCGAGGGACAGAAGTGGAGCGGGTGAGGGAGGGGTGAGGCAGGGGTGAGGCAGGGGTGAGGGAGGGTGAGGGAGGGGTGAGGCAGGGGTGAGGCA